ATCTGACTGGGGGGCTACAGGCAGGAGTCTAATGACACATTCTTCTCCGTCTGGAACATCTAGGTTGTCTTACATGATCTGACAGCTCTCATCGTCACACTGCACCTAATCAATCCAAACAAAATTCCTGAGCGGAACATAAGTCCCACAACCCTTTGCAAAACTATGTATCCCCAGAAGCAACATGCAAGACTAATCATACATTATTTTTATTTTGATCTGTGTTTTATGCTGTCCAATCACTGATGGAAACCTTTGGAGGTGATGTCAATTGGGCAGCTTTGGAGCGAATCCTCTGATTGTGTTCCAGCCTTCGGGCCTCGCTGTCCTTGATGCAATTCCAGAGGCGCGGCGTGAATAATATTAAAACGTGAACGAAGGAGCTTGCAGCACACTCACCCTTAGGCTTCATCCTGAGTGCGTGCTCAAATTATAACAAGCCTGTGGCCTACCAGCAGATCTAAACATGCACGCTGTGGCGTCAGCACTCTTTTATTGGAGTCATCCTGTTGAAAAATACAGTAGAAAGGGACAGGAGACAGAGCCTGGAGGACAGGATGTAAACGTCTGGGCTCCCCGCTGTCCCCTCTTTGATTTTATCGTTCTCCGTTGAGATTATAAGCGACTCGGATTGATGAATTGAGTTGGAGCCAATCTCTCTCACACTCATCTTCATCTGGATGTTGGTACTGACGGTATAGAGGAAGATGGATGGACGTGGGACTTCTTCCCTCTGTATTTCATGTACAGATGATGAGCTGTGAATCAAAGGTCACATTATTTAGAACCCTCCAGGTTTGTACGTCTCACAAAACGTCAATTTTAGACCGCGAAGAGCAAAACAACATGAGTGATTTTGTTGTTTGTGAGACTTTTAATTCACTCTGGTCTATTGTGCAACTCTCGAACGTCCCAAGCATGAATATGCGAGGCGCTGCAGGCTAATGGGAGTCGTTACGATGAGGGATGGTACCAATAAATTGATGTCTCCTACACTTACTGCAACAACCGCTCCCTACTTCTGCAGTTAAAAGGATTGACTCAGCCTTCGCTAACCTTGTGTTTAACTTGAAATGTCATTAGCAAATCAAAAGTAGATTAATTAATCACAGGTTCACTGTGGTGTGCATTAATGTAAGTGACCACTGTAATATAACTTAAAGAGAAATCACCCTTGATTTCTCATCTTGACACCACTTTGAATGCGTCGCTGCTTCCAGGATGGCTGAAGCTGTCATCAACAGGGAGAAAATGGATTCTATAAGTGGGGGAAGAGTCTGCTTCAGCATTAATTCTGCTACAAATGGAGCTGTTCGTTACTGGTCCACACCTACGTCTAAATTTATCTTGTCTTTTTTGTTGGCGATCCTGTTATCTTTTCTTCACAAATCCTTAAATGCGTTCTTCAACCTGTTGTTGCTCCGAGCATTGATGCATGACTCAGTAAAGAAGCTATTTCGGTTGTTCTGTCTCCAGCTCAGATGCTTCAACATCCTATTACTTTGTGACATTTAGAAAGGTGCAGAGGCTCGCTTAGATGAAGAAAAAAAAAGAGACTCCTTAAAGACAAGAAGCATTTGCTTTAATTATGTAAACAAGTGGCAGTCTTATATGTACAAACCTCCAAACCTCATTCTTTGACATCTAGAGAAGGTCTTTGTTCTTATTCTTTTTTTTTTCTACATCATGAAATGTTCAGTGGCACCGTGCTGCCAAGAAAACAGCAGTGCCAAGCCATTAGTGTACTAACAGTGATCCCTGCTGGTGAGAGAGGGAACAGAGTGATCATGGTGAATTCAATTCACACAGGATGAAAGCAACGACCAGTGATCAAGCTAACTCTGCAGGAGGCAGTTGGGAAATATTTAGCAGTACTTTAATGTTGATTTCAACAAACATTTTTGTTTTCATTTAAAGTGCTGTTAAAAAGAAAATTCATGATTTCTGATGTTGTTGATTCATCAGACAAAGATAACTTAAGTAAATACAAAATGTTCTTTTTTAAATGCCATTTTGTTACTTCAGGATATAAAATGTCTCACTTGTTACATCATGAGTCAGCTGAGATTAACCACAAGATATGGAAAGCTGTGTTCAGATTAAACAATAGTAAAGAGCTGGGGGACAAATATGACAACTATGAAGGGTTGTTGGCACAAAACGTTTGCTGATCAAAACAACACTGAGGTTAAAAACATCTTAATGATCTTCAAGTCTTCTGCTTTCCCTTTACGTCTGATGTGACACTAGGAAGAACTTTACACTAACAGTCGAGCATGGTGGCGGTAGTGTGATGGTCTGAGGATGCTTTGATGCTTCAGGTACTGTAACTTGCTGTGATGGTGAATCCTTGAATTCTGTTTTCTACCAGAAAATCCTGACCTTTGACCTTAAAATAGTCATTCATGCTAGAGAACCCTCCAGTGTCGCTTAAACAAAGACTCTGTCATAACAAATGCTTTATTGTAGTTTTACAACCATTTAGCACGTTTAAGGCTCGAATACATGTTTTTGTTTTTTTACTTTGAGGTTTGGATGACCTTTATAAGGAAATCATCACATGAACATTTGCTTTTTTGAATTCCCTCAGGTTATCGTTGTCTGATTACTTTGTTGATCTGAAACATTTAAATGTGTCAAATAAGCAAAAACAGAATACATTTGGATGGGGCCAAATACTTTTTACAGCTCTGCAGTTAAACTAAAACAATACAACACATAGCAAAATCCCTGTGCCCAGTATTATGTCCCTGCTGTGATTATGCCTGTATGCTCATTTCTCCAGTAGCCAGATACCTCTCAGGAAAAATGATTGGCTTTATTTTTATATCCTCTGACAAACTTAAAGTTCACTTCTAGTACAGATTGTTGAGGCACAGGCTCTGCAAAACCGTCCCTGTCTGTAAACATTCTGGTTTCCATGCCATCCTGGAGCATCATCCACAGACAAACACTTCAGCAACAAATAAAAAAGGATCCAAACAATGGGAGGTGTGGAGTGTTGGAGGGGGAGGAAGAGGGGAAACAGGTGGAGGAGCAGATGAGGGTAAGGGTAATTTACAAATCCATTTTCCAAAAACAAACTGGGACTGCTTGATGGCAACAAAAAGGGAAAAACAAGAGTAATTGTGAATTTTAATCAGCTTATTGTGATTCAATAAACAATGTCATTGTCCTATACAAAAAAGGATTTTCATGGTTTGTCATCGTTGAAATTTTCAGTGCAGCCGTTTCTCTACTAGGACACCAGCTTTATCTCTGGTAGCTTCAAGTAACAACTGATTGTTTTTTTAAGCCAGAGCTTTAACATTTATCTCAGTGATTATTGGGTAGAAACTTGACCAGTTTTATATTTGACACCACCCTGCAGCCCTCTGCTGACCAAAAACCGCACTGGATAGTTTTTTGGAGCGGGTAGGTTTTTCTAGGGGGGGCGCTCTTTACCTGCACAAATCTCAAAACGTGAACGAAGCTGTTAGCTGTAATGCTATTGGTTAGCATTTTCGGTCCACCAATCGTCAATAAGAAATTTGTTTTTCCTGTTGGCATCATGGCGGAGCCTGGAAATAAAAGTAAGAGAGTGATGTCTTTGAAGCAAAAAGCTAAAACCTGAATGAACATCAGCGCTGCCTACACTAGTTTGAGGGAACTAAAGGAGGCTAAAAAAAACACGGACTGATGGTGACCTGGCTTTGTTGCAAATGGACTTGGAAGTAATAATATGTTTAAAATTATAAAATAAATAATATTATATCACTTTACTTTGTGGTTTATTTAAGTATTAGTTGGTTCATGTTAATGTTAGTTTGTTGTTAGTGCTAGCTACAACAGTGTGCTGCAGGGATGTTTATGACAGTTGTAATTCCACTTTCAACCAGTAAGGCAGGAACAGTGTTACTTTAAAGCTGGACTCTGAAATATTACACTGTGTAATAAAATACAGGATCATTAAAAGTTTTTTTTAATATAAATAAGTTACATTTAGGGGAAAAATTGCAGATCCAGTTTTAATACTTGATCAAATGAAGCGTGGTATAATCCACCTGTGCAGGTGTAATGTGGGTTACATCATCTAGACTCTGGTTCTTCCTGGTTGTTTTTGTTAATAATCAAAACCCACAAGAAGAAACTTGTTGGACTAAAAGTCCAACTAAAGGTCAAGAACATGAATCTGACATCACTAAACTTCGTTTTTTCTTTTGTTCTTTGTAGAACAACATCTGTGTTGATGTCTCGCAGAGAGTTATAATTGGCCTCAGTGTTAAAAAAAATCCAGGTGTGGGATGGATTATTTCTCTTTTTATCAGATGCTGCTCATCTGACTGTACAATTTGTATGCCATGCTCAGGGACTGGACAAAAAAGGAAAGAAAGATTGTTAGAAGACTATCAGCAAACCTGAAGAACTATTGATCATAACCACTCTAAACGATTACAAGAAATGTGACTTCTTGAAAGCGATCTATAAAAATTGTTGGTGTTTTAAAAGGTTTTTACAAAACTGAGATGTCAGCAAATCAATTTAATGCCACTGCACACTTCATCGAACATGTCAAAGTTCAGTTTGTGCTCCCTGTGTCACGTTGCGGGTGTAGGAGTGTATGGACCATGTGTGGTGGCGCAGATCAGGAGGTAAAGATGCAGGCTTCAGATAAAGTAAAATGGTTTTAATGGTGGAATGGGAACGAACAGCACAAGACAACGATGACAAACAACCACAATGATCTGACAAAGACTGATACAAGGAGGGAGGTGTAAATACACCGGGCAAATGAGGAGCACATGGGCAGGTAAACAAGGGGCAGGTCAAAACAATAAAGACTAATCAAGGGCAGGAGAGAGACACAGTCAGGGAGGCAGGGGCAGACCGTGACACCCTGTTAATTATGAAACATCTTTTGTCATCTCGCTAATTTAACACACCAGATTTTAAATTATAATTCAATTGTTTGGTGGGGTTTTTTTTCTGACTGAACGTTTAATTTTTTTTTCTCTCCACAGAATCGCTGCTGTCGCTCTTTACTAAAATCACACCATCTTACACTGAATCAGGCCACTTTATTAGGTACCCCTATTGCTCACTAAAACAAATTGCTAACTGGATCCATGGCAGTAAGTCAATGCTTTGACGCATCCAGACATGAGGACGGCACTTTCAAGTTCAAGCGCCAAACATCAGAATGAAGTGAAAACGGGGACGAAGGTGACTTTCAACATGGTGCTGGGTCTCACAGCTGTAAAGATGCAAAATAAGTGAGTCAACAATTCGAAAAGCATTCCTAAAACTGGACAAAAAGAGAGTGGGAAGTCTTGATTCAGCTGCAGCATTCCGTAGTTATTTCATCCCCTCTGCAGTAAGAGTGTTTAACTCCTCAGTTTACCTGGTACTGGCATTATCCTGTTACACAATAACATCAATGCAATGCAATTTTCATAGGTGTTCAACATTGTGTACTGCATAAATGTTAACGTAGATGTAAATTAGAATGCCTGTGCCCCTTATGCTGCATAGTTCTGAAAACCCAAGTTCTATTTTTATTCGTTGATTTTAGTGGTTGAAGGTGACAATAATAACTCATTGCCTTTGGTGAATGTTCTGCTGTAGCAGGTTTCCCCACTGGGATTAATAAATTCTATTCTATTCTATTCTATTCAGATGGTTGGGTCAGAATTGGGTGTTATCAAAATGAAAGCATGGATCCATCTTGCCTTGTATCAACACTTCAGGCTGCTGCCGGTGTTGTCATGGTGTGGGGGAGATGTTTCGTGCCCCCTTTGGACCCTTTAGTACCACCTGAGCATGGTTTAGACACCACAGCCTACCTGAATATTGTTGCATGGGTGTAGAACTGATAAATCTGCTGCACCTGTGTGATGCCTTTATGGAGCAATTCGATTGTTCAACAAATAATTAAAGCTGTTCTGTAGCAAAACGGGGTTTAGTCCTAAGAAAATTTATACTTGCATTTTATATATTAATATTTAGCATCTCAGACATTTTTTATGACTTTATGTTTTATTTTTGTTTTGATCTATGTGAAGCACTTTGTAATTCTATGTCTGAGATAAGTGCTATATAAATAAAATTTTCTTACTTACTTACGTTTTAATGTTTATGTCAAATGCATCTCCAACTTTGATTGAGATTCTAATTTATTTTTGCAGTTTGTAAATGATTCAATTTGCTGAAGTAAATTATTATTATCATTATTATTCATAGTAGTAGTAATAATAATAATAATAATAATATGTTGTTGTTGGTTTTCTTTGTATTGAGTGGGAAAATCTGGTTGTGTTCATGCAAAATTTTGAAAGAATTATATTTAATTCATTATTATTTTCAGGTAAACACTTGCGTGCCAACAGTTCTAGTCGCATGAGTCGCGCGCTCACTTACTGTAAAGTCACGCGCACAAACGCACACAGCTGGAAACGGCGCGTGACCGGTAAACTCGCAAAAGCATCCTTAATAATTTACTCGTAAGCTGCACTTGGTTTTGAATGATGTAATTCTCAAGCAGCCGTGCCAAGGGCGAAAGTGTAACCGGGAAGAAGGGCGACCAAAAAAAAAGTTCCTGAATGAGAGAGCAGGGAAGCTGGGGAGCGGAGAGCCGCCTGCTCTCAGACTTGTACCAAAGTTTCAACAACTCTATGTTAAAGTCGCAGCTCCGATGTGATGTGGAAACGGTAAAAGGTGAGTTCACGCGCCATGGACGAAGTGAAACTGGCGTTTTTTATTTTTTTATTTTTATTTGTTTGCTGTTAACGTTTAGTGGTTAAACTGAGCAGATAGTTGGCATCCTGATAATTATGATCCCATAAAATTATTTAACATTTAAAATTTACCTTATATTATAGTTAAGACAATGTATTCAGAAAAAAATAGATAGATAGATAGATAGATAGATAGATAGATAGATAGATAGATAGATAGATAGATAGATAGATAGTGGTCCTGAAGCTGCACAGCAGCACCAGATCATCACAGTACCACCACCATGTTTGGCTGCAGCTATGTTCTTTTTCTGAAATAAGGAGCCCAAGTCATGGCCAGCTTCTTCCGGTTAATTCTATTGTCAAAAATGATAAAAGTTTGATATGTGCCATGGATTTTAACATATGATTGTCCGTGTATTTTTAAAGACATGTTTTGATGCAGAGGAAGTGGAAGTGCTCGTTTTTGATAGTCGGCAAAAATTATTTCAGGTTTTATGTGAAAAATTGACTTCTGATTTGTAGTCACTTTAATTACGGACCTTTACAAGCTAATAAATCTCAAATAACATGAAAGACGTTGTCGAAACACAACTTTAAACTCTATACTTTTATTTATCTAGCACCTTACAGACATAGAATATGCCACCAAGGTGCTGTACAGACATAATAAAACTGATAAAACAACATAAAAGAAGCACAAAAACACAATAAGACAAATAAAATGAGAACGGGAGAAAGCTAACAACACAGAGCTAACACAGAGGTAAAAGCCAGATCATCCCTGATCAACAGAAGATGCTTGTTTCTTTGGATCCGACACTGAGAAGGCCCTATCCCCACTCATCCTCAAACGAGACCTTGGTAGAAAAAAACAGATTTATTTATAGTTTTAATTGAAGCACAACTTGCGTGTGATTCAAGCAAAGCAGACCTGAAAATAACTATTTTAGCCTTATTCACTTACATGAGCCGACCTGAAAGGGAGGAGTTAGGCTCCCCACACAGAGTTAGGTTTAGCCCAAGTGTACAGGGAATGAAACAGTATTGGGGATGGTTTTCTGGGGGCAAATGTGAGAAAGGCCTTTGAGTTCTCCAACTATCTTTGTCTGATATTAACATATGTTTGCTGATTTAAGAAAAATTAAGCCATTTGGCTCATGTTTGTTCCTTAACACTTAATATCATAAGTAATTTTGTATTTAATAAGGTTATATTTGTTTGTTGAACTGAAACAGTGATGTGTGACATAAAGGAATATACTTGATAAATCTGTCAAGGGTTTCTAGTTGGAATTTTCCCGATGCCTAATTATGGTCTGTTTATCTTTTTCTAGGTGTTTACCTTGGATTCAGTTTCTTTTCACAGCAAACTTTGAAAACACAATAACCCTGCCGCTCACTCATGAGCACATACCCCCTGAGGAATTTACTTCAACCATGAGTGGAAAAGGCTGCCAGCTCCTAGTGTCTCCTTGCAATATGTCCCCATCACTAAGTATCATTAGAGGACACCAGTCCCAATCCATCAGGATGCCCGTGTCTTCTCCTCAACAAGCCAGACTTTACTCATCCACAGGGAGGACAGAGAAAGTGAAAAGAGGAACTGACCAAACTTTTACATCAGGGAAACAAAGCGGAGGCCCTGTTGTCCTGCCTGCCCTGAGCTTCCGGGGACAGGTGTTGAACAACAGACAACATCCAAATGAGTCCACTACAACACAGATGCAACAACCTGCTCAGCATTCCCTAAAAACAACAGCAACCACTGCCAAACCAAGAAGACACAGCTCCTCCATCCACAGCTTTACAGGTAAAGGCATCACCCAGGAAAAGTTAAGAAAATCCAGCAGAACCAGTTGTTAGGAGGAAACCGAAGCTCTGCTCTAACAGCCGTTTGAATTACACGTTAACGTAGTCACTCATTCATTGAAAGCACATTTCACCCAAAAGAAATCAGAAGTTAAAGTAATTTACTATGATCTCACTTCACTGTCATCTTGCTAAACCATTTATTTTGTTTACAGATAGTTTATCAGGCATAAAATCCGAACCTAAAAGTTCTACAGTCATGTGGTGGGAGGTGAAAACCGTGTAAATGATTAACGGAGCAGAGTATCTCGGCTCTGTTTAGGTTAATGAGGAAAATGAATCCACCATCCAGTTTGTAAGCTTTGCGTTTGAGTTAGTTCTGTTTTAAATGTGGATAAAAGCTTTTGTTCTGCTTTCACTTGTATATTTTTTTTTTACTAAATAATTGGCTTGTGTCCAGCAGATTCTGCAGCGCCTGGGTCCGATGGGGGTGTATGCAGTGAGGCAGCTGGTGCTAGCCAAACGCTGACCTGTAGTTTTCTGTCAGGCCAGCAATACCCCGCGGTGCCTCAGCTCCCATCGTATCATAGCATGCCGGTTCCGAACACCGATGCCAGGTGAGCACCGTCAGTGGGTCCATGTGATGGTGCGCTTGCAAAAAGTTCCTGAAAATAAAATAAAAATGATCTCTTTCAGGTCATTACTGTCCAGAGAGTCCCTGGCATCAACTACCCTCAGCCTGTTTGAAACACAGTCAGTGTTTAGTGGCAAACATGACTGGCCATATGGTTACCGTGTGCTTCCTCCCCTGGGAGTAACTCAGAGCTCTACCCAGGCCAATGAGGGTGGCGAACAGTTCAGCCTGTCTCCTGGAACTGCCATGTCGGGCACGACCGTATCGGGTGGCACAAGCACCTCTGCCTCCCTTCCCTCGTACCTATTTGCAGCTGAGGCTGGAAGCCCCCGACAATCTCGTGCAAAGAAGAGAGCCCTCTCCACGTCGCCTTTGTCTGATGTCATGGGTATTGATTTCAATGCCATCATACGCACCTCGCCAACCTCCCTTGTGGCCTATGTCAATGGTTCCCGCAGCTCTCCATCCTCCCACTGCACTCTCTCACCAGTTCAGTCTGAAGGATATGGTCACTTCTTGGGGGTGAGAGGTCGCTGTATACCCCAGAACCATCCCTGCAGCATAGCCAGCTTCTCACAAGCCTTGGCCCCACAGTCAGAGTGTGGCCGTTTGCAGATGCTTGAAGAGGGACTGGGTCTGGAAGGCCAGATGGCAAACATGATGGTGGAGCAGCAGTGCCTTCCAGACAAAGGAGGGATCCTGGAGACGACTTCAGGCAGCTGCAGCCAAACTTTCAACAACATTCTCCCACCTCTAATGTTAGAGCCAACGCTGTTGGACACTATACAAGAGGCTGCTACTCCACAAGGACCACCACCACCGTACCACTCACACCAACACATAAAAATCTCCAAACATCCCTTCAAAATTAAGGCTTCTTCTCAGAACCCTGTCTCAGGCCCCATGCTTCCACACAGGCACGGAGTTGGGTTTTTACCCCAGATTCCGATGCTGGAGGAGGAGGAAGGTGAGGTGGAGGACTATGGCACCCATTGCTGCAGGTGGTTGGACTGCAGCACGGTTTGTGACCAAAAGGAGGAGCTGGTAAGGCACATAGAGAAGGTGCACGTGGACCAGCAAAAGGCTGAGGATTTCACGTGCTACTGGGTGGGATGTCCACGCAAACTCAAGCCATTCAACGCCCGATACAAACTTCTTATCCACATGAGGGTTCATTCAGGAGAGAAACCCAACAAATGCTCGGTACAACTTGCACACAAGTCTCTTTTAGTCCTTCCTTCTGAATTCAGAAGCTTGCTCTCTAAGTTCTTTTGTACGTCCGTTCTGTGTTTAACTTTATAATCCATTACTTTGTTCTTTTTTTACACAGTTTAGTAAAAAATTATTTTTCAACCTGACATGTTTCGACTAATGGCTCTGGTCATCATCAGAGATCGCCGGTGTTGGTGGCGTCACTTCCGTTCATCCGCGGACAGCAGAGGACGATGTCGCCCTCTACTGCCCGCAAGAAGCCCACAAGAAGCATAAAGTACAATAAAGAAAACAGCTGTAACCGACCACTGCACAAAGGAAAACCATTCAGTGGACTGGGACAGTACACGGATCATAAACACAGAACAACAAAAATACAAAAGATGGATCAAAGAAGTGATAGAAATATGGAGACTTACACACAAAACCATGAACAGAGACGATGGAGTATTCACATTGGACCACGCATGAGACAGTGCCATCAGCAAGGAGGACATTGACATCGTCCTCTGCTGTCTGCGGATAAATGGAAGGAACGCTACTAACACCGGCGATCTCTGATGATGACTAGAGGCGTCAGTTGAAACATGTCAGGTAAAAAACTAATTTTTTTACTAAACCGCACAAAAAAAGAACAAAGTAATGGGTTGCTGTCTAAGTTTTTCTGTCTTGAGTTTCTTTCCTCCAAATGCAAATATAGCAAAAGTCCCTTTCACTCTGATGACATTTTTTCTACTTGAAAGTGAAATGGACGACTAAATGCCTTCAAAGCAGACGCATGATGAATGGTGGAGCTAAGTTTGAATTGGTTTGTGCCATTCAAGGCCACAGTATCGAGATGAAGAGTTTAATACCGCAGGCAGCCAAAAGAACAGCCTTTGTCAGGGTAAACGCCTTCATGTGCAATGAGATTTAGCCAAGGTTTAGATCAAATATGGCCTCCCTCTCTTTTTAACTTAAGCCATGGTGCAATTAGCAGAGCTCTGTGACAACTGGCATGAGAATTACCTCAATGATATAGTTGTTAAATAAGCACAAAAAGGGGTCTAGCACTTTGTATTTGGCATGGCACAATGATCCTTTAGTAGCTGTTGGAGCTGTCAGCAGCCACGGCTTCACCAAGTCTGAAAAACTTGGCTGTAGTTCTAGAAAGGTGATGCCACAGTAATCTAGTACTTTACTGTTTACCTTTTTTGGCCAGGAGGATGGATTTTATTCAGGATGCCAAACTGCTCTTTCTCAAAAGATTTGTTACTATCTTTTAATGCTTATTACGACTGTGCTTATGTGCAACCTTGGAGCTAGAGATTGGGGAAAATGCATCCTTTGAAATAAATAAAAATTAAAAGCCACCACATGTGCTCAAGAAAATAAGGTAAATTACTTCCTTCTTTTATGGTTTCCGAAAAAATATTTTAAAGGCCGCTGTTGTTTTTGTTTACAAACCTCTGATGCTTAACTTGTTGGGAGTTTCTTGGAAAAGTTTTCTTCCAGTCACTCGTCTATGAAGATCACAGTTTTGAAAGTTATTCCATTGCACACCACTTCTCTAGACTTTCCTAAATCTTCCTGAAGGAGTTTGGTTTGCAGCCAGGGGTGTGTAATTCTTAAAGGAATTCTCCCTGAAGGATTTGTTGGTCATCCACATCCTAATGTGACTTCCATTACTTCAAAATCTACAGAGTAAACATAAACTAAAATTTTTTTACAGCCTTCTGATGTTTTGTGGGCACAATTGATCTGTTGCATGGCCACTTATTCACTCAAAGGACGTTGGAACCTTTCAGAGTTATTTTACAGTCTTTCAGATCAGTGACGTAGAAGTCGGTCTAGCATTTATTGAGTGGTTTGATCAAACCTCTCTTACGGATGGGTTCAGGGTTAGAAGAAACAGAATCTGCACTATAACGTTTTTATTGATCACATAGTTTTCTTTCTGTTCCTTGTTGCCTCTGAGGAAGCATGTGAGACTTGGCTGAGTAATTAACAAACACACTCCATGTTGGTGCTTTCACCGAGATAATTATTAACTTCATGCATACCTGCAGTCGACCTTCTGCTCCAAAATACTCACTTATTACCTGAAGCCAGCTCTGTTGCCATGGTGCTGTATCGTTCTCTGGATTCATCTGGCAGTGGAAGATTTAAGGGAACAACTAGAAACAAGAAGTAAAACTCATACTTATTGTTCTTTTTAGAAATATTTAGAGTAATAAAAAAAACTTGAACAATATTCTTATTACGCTTTCATTTTTATATATATTTATTTAACTCAAGATTAGCCAAATTCCAGGGTTCTGGACTTTTTTCTCTCTTTACTCAAACAGTTTTAATTCAGTTGAATAAGATTGAGGATGAGTTATAAACTCAAAGGTAAAAAAATGGATGAGTGGGTGGAAACAGAAAATGTAAAAGCCGTTTTTCCTCTCTTGTTACACGCTGAACATAAAGGACAGGTCCAGACTTGTCTCTATATGTCTCCATATCACACTTCATAAATTTGGATACAGCACACCATTTGTGTGCAACTGCAATTTATACATTAAAGAGCAAGCTCACTGAGAAACCACTAATTCTTTTTTTAAATGAAGAGTCACTCTGAGTTTAACATGCAGGCTGAATGTGAAAATAGTCTTCTACCCCTATTTCCTGCTTTAGCTTCTGACAGAAAAGAGAAGGAAAATGCTAGGTTCAGAAAAGCCTGACAGATCTACGTCATGCTGTCAATTAACATTCATGGACACAGCCATCTTGGCTCGCAACAAGGAAGGCTGCTGTTGGTATAGCGTCCAGGAAACAGCAGAGAACGTCTCGGCTCATTGGAGCTAATTATTAGCATTAGTAACTCCACCATACTGCAGAACTCCTTCAGGTTTTTTTTTTTTTTTTTTTTTTGTGGAGCTGAAACATCAATGTTGCAGAGCAAATTGAGTCCTTGGTAGAGTTGCATTGCTGTTCAGAGCCGTGTCCAGGACTTTTAAAATGGGGTGGCCCATGTGGGGCACTTGTTTATTCATGGGTGGCACCAATGGTTATGCTTATTTATTCATTTATGCAAATCGTTTATTTATTTACTTTCTAGTGAATTTTTGAGTTTCACATTGCACAATCACCATTTTTTTCCCTCTTCATCTTCTACTTTTGTGGTGGTTAGCAAGTCACTTCTTGTTGCATTACCAACTGGAGTTGAGTGGGACTCTAAATATTATGTATGTGAATATGAAAAAATATTAAATAATATTAATACTACATACCTGGGCTAGAAAACAAGGTGAAAGGTGCATGCAACCACACACTATTTTGGAGTTTACAACCCAAGCCTTTTGTCGACAATGTTAAGTCAATTTAAACTGGAACAGTGGGGTGGCACCTGGGGTGGCCAATCAGATTCTAAGGGTGGCATGTGCTACCCCAGGCCACTCCCTGGACACGCCCCCTGTTGCTGTTAGTCAATCAGAGGCGAGATGTCCAAATATCATGCCGTCTGAAGATACTTTCTCCTCCAGCTGTTTTCTACATCCTCAAACAGGTGCATCAGAGCTTTTATTCCCCAGAGAACAACTTACAAGGCATCCATTCCATCTAGAGACCACTGCAGATGTATTAAAACTATGTGTAAAGTTGGCCTTTACATGTTTGTTCCTCTTTTAAAGATTCTAACACTTATTTTTTCCAAAGTACGTTTTCACAAAGATAGGTTTACTGTTTGTGTGGATTGCACATATGAAAGATTTTCTTCTTATTGGAACTGGTTCATCGTAGCTGACTTGAATGACTGTATGTTTCCAAACATAAGAGCAAACATTTCAGTAATGAAAAAGACTTTTGCATTCACACCTTGTGCACGTGATCGTCTTAGCTAGCTTGTTGATTTTAAATTGACATAATGAGTAAGAACACGTGGTTGTGTGTTTTGTGTTGGCTCTGTGATGAGCTGACGGCCTGTTTGGGGTTAGGTGACCTTTCATCTGATTAACAGCTGGGATAGACTTCAGCCCACTTACGATCCCAAACAGGAAAATCCAAGTACAGGAAATGGAAGGACTGGTGTTTATAATGGGTGACAAGTCAAGACTGTGCAAATAATAGTCATAGATTTTTTGTGGGTTTGCATTGTTTTGCTGAAAGAGGCAAGACATAACCTGAAAAGTTGTGATTAGCAGGGTTTTACACCAAAATTGGAATATATTGTTTAAAAGGTTTATCATCACAAAAGCGTCTTGTTGTTGATTGATGCCGAACACCTGCTTTAATGCTCACATAAATGGAGTTGTCACATCTTCCTTCTAATATATACAACACTTGGTAAACCATACAGTTCGAGTTGAGTCGAGATTTATTGTTTAACATGACCCAACACAGTGACGTTTGCACTACCTGTCATAGTTTCTAAGCACTATAGGTAACATTACTTTTTGTTCTTCGTATACAATTTTCTGTTTGGTGTCATGAAAATATTCGCTTGCTGGCTACAAAAAAGGCCTAGCGTGTTCAGCAGACTTTCCCATCATCAAGACAACACCTTAGTGAAAATGAATGGAAGACTGGATGGAAGTAAATCTGGTGGCAATGCCACATCCAAAGTGTGCTGTAATCGATGCTAAAGACAGGCAAGGAAAATATTTAAGTGTGAGACTTTTTTCTTAGTGGAAAATTTCTTTTGCCTGGGCTGCGTCCCTAATCACTATTTCACAGGGTGGTGATTGCTCATGTGTTAGGAGTTCGCCCTTTAACCGTTGGGTTGCCAGTTCAAACACAAGCTCCATCCATGTCTGTCGTTGTGTCTTTGAGCGAGACACTTCACCATCTTTACTTGCTGGTGGTGGGCAGAGGGACGTGGCTTTGCTTCTGTCGGAGTGCCCCATGGCAGCTGTGACCACAATGTGAATGACTAGAGTAAATTGCTCTCTCTCAGAAAGATGCTGTACAAGATGATTTATCCTTTAGGTAAAATGTAGGTAAACATTTGGATGGGGATTGTACCTTAAAGGTGTGGAACTCAGAAAAACCATTTCTGATTATAATCGGTCACTCTGAGTTTTTCATGCTGCTGTTTTAACGTTCAGGAATCAGCAGTCAACATCCTGACTAGCAGAAGCTAATCGTTAGCATTAGCAACACCATCACACAGGAGAAATTCCCCCAGGCCTGTGTTATTTATGGAGATTAATAAATCCCTGTTGCAAGTTATTGGTAGAATCGCGTTGCTGGTATCCAATCCGAGATGTCCAAATATCAGGAAATAAGACTGCTAAACCTGCCGTGTTGTGCCGGCTGCCTGCTGCAGCAGAATTGCTTGTGTTGATCCGAACATTTCTGGGCATTTTGTGCCCCGAGTACAGCTTGCAAGGCATTCATTTCTACCTGAGACCACAGCAAATGTATTGAAAAAACGAGTTTACCACACCTTTAAATTTCCAAATAACATACTTAAGGTGCAATAAATTGTACATTTTGACAGAGAATGTGTTGGAGATGTGTTTACACAAAAAAAAAAGTTGAAACAACAAGAGCAAAGATGCATGAGTACCACTTGTGAAACTGGGAATCCAGAATGATCGGACCTGAGAGCACTTGCTCTAATTTCCCTCTGGGATTAGTAAAGTATTTTTTGAATTTTTGAATTTGAATTTGAACACCAAGTAGCAGAGTTACCTCTGGACTGGCCTGGAGTCCTGTCAGAATTTTAGCCTCATGTTGATTCTTGCTCGCCTGTCTGGTTTGGTGCCAAGAGACTTATTTATCCCTGTGCTAGTTTTCTTAAGGCGTCTTCTTTTCTTTTGCTTTGCGTTCCCATTTTAAATTTGGAAAAGGAATTATCATGTGAGTAGAAACAGATTGTGTGATATTCGTTTTATTATTTAGCCTCCCTCTTCTGTTGTTGTTTAGTTGGGTCGCTTTGACCAAATGTGAAATATTTTCTATATTCAGCCTCCATAACTGACAAAACATCATTCTGGCTTAACAGTTTCTTTGGAAATAAAAGGTAACAGAAATCTATTTTCAATATCTATTCCAGAATCTAGACGAGTTTGTTGGAGCTATTTTGACAGAAAATAACTTTTGTATCAAGAGAAAGAATGACAAATATGTTTAATACACCAGTAGAGGGAAAATAGTTAATTTGGCTGTGGTAGTTATGAGGTATTAGTATGTGAGGAATCCAGTCTTGAAGGAAAAATAACAACACAAGACACGGTCTGTGTGTTTAGTTCATTAGGCTTGGTCAGGGCATGCCAAACACCTCTACCTCCCACAACCCCCCAGGAAGAGGGCGAACACGTTCCCGGATTCTTCAGAAAAAATTGAAAGATTTGCATGTTTTAGGAGTGAAGTCACTGGTCACATAAATCTGCAACAAGTTGGGTTGTTGCCTGGGATTGCTACAGGAGTTGGATCTGTTTTTTCCTGAGTCTGTCTGCATGATCTGATCACATGATGCCTTTTCTCAGTTTTAGTGCTAATATATGTTTTTTTAATGTTTTTTAACGTTTTTTTTTCACTGATTGCTGCAAACTGCTGTCAAGGTGATGAAAGACAAAAGATTAATGACACAAAGCTATATAGTCATGCATGTATGAACACTGCCCCCTGCTGGTCGTACAACATTCAGCTGACATTTATGCAAAGGGTAAAATGAATTTGAAACTGCAACACTGTATGAAAGTAGAGACTCTGTGTTGAGTCATGCTTTTATTTATTAGAGCCACTTCAACACATCAGTGTCACAGTAATGATATCTCAGTGTCACAAAATTACCTTCAGTGCTAGATAAGTGACACATTTGTTTCTATACTTTATTTTATCTTTTCCCACACTCCAGAGAAAAGTTTTTTTTGTACAATTTTCATCAAACAGCAAGAATAAATCACATGAATTCTGGTCTAATTTATGATAAAACAACAGTAAAATAAGAAAATACAACTTCTAAAATCTGTCTATTGTCCTGCTTTGATTCAAACTAATGTGTTTTTCTGTTATTTTATGCAGTTTGAAGGCTGCAACAAGGCATTCTCTCGGCTTGAAAACCTAAAGATCCACCTTCGCAGCCACACGGGAGAGAAGCCCTACGAGTGCCAGCACCCCGGATGCCACAAGGCTTTCAGCAACTCAAGTGACAGAGCCAAACACCAGCGCACACACCTGGACACGGTGAGTGGCGGCACAAACGAGAGGCTAATTACGGATGGTATTTTGATTCTTTTGCATCACAGCGGACTTCCATATGTGCCTATATGTTTCTGTGGTACAGAAACCATATGCGTGCCAGGTGCCAGGCTGTGCAAAACGTTACACCGATCCCAGCTCCTTAAGGAAACACATGAAGTCTCATTCTAGTCAAGAACGGCAGTTAAGGAAGAAGGCAAGTAATACATTTGTACAAAAATGTCACTTTTAAATGATTTTCCACTGAAAATTGAAATTTTGTCTGTTGACGTTTTTCCCAAAGTTAGAGAAGTGGGAGAAAACAAGTTTTAACTAGCCCAGTCATTCTCCTGACTTGGCTGTACTATTTTTTACCTTTAGCTTAGCATAAAACACAGTAAGTGAATGGATCCAACTAGCATTGTGAGTAAAAACTTCCTTAAAATCACTCAGTAGTGACCCCAATTCTGCTTGGTGACTTCAATAATTAGACTGACTGCAAATTAATGTAATTGGTAACGTCAAGGAATCACAGATGCCATTTTAGTCTTGGGCTGCCTTGCACCTGACTCCTACTGCACACTGGAATCATCAGCGGTGCGGAATGGTAGCGGAAAGGTTTACTCACGAGTCAGGACAACCGCTGCACTCCAGTGCACACCGGGAGAGTCTCAGCCACGAAGCAGCTTCTCCACTCGTCTCCTCGCTCGACTCACGAGATCAATTCAATCCCTTGAGTTTTTACCATCCGCCATTAAAGCCAAAAGAAGGAAATCCGTTTTTATATTGCAGTTTGATGTCCCATGATGTTGATCTTCTCCACTGCCAGGATTAAAACCATGAAAAACACACCGCTGCACGTCTCGAATGATGCAGAGAGTATATACACTGTTACACCACTTGTATTGAAATAATCTGCATAGATATGAATTCACATTGCTGCTATAAACTTTTATTTTGAAAATTACCAGGGATTTTACACTGAAACCGTGTGTGATTTCCAGTCTAGCCCTATGTTAACTGTGGGAATTGTCGTGTCCCAGAAGCGGCTTGCTGCAAAAATAGAACCTGATCCTATCTTTCGCTTCTGGGACGCACCTGAAAATTGCGGCGTCGCGGCTGGTTTGAATCACCCCCATAGACTTTAATGGATTCTATTCGAAGAAGTGACGTTCCACTGATGTTCCATGTCGCTGATGCTTCCAGAGTGCAGTAGGGGCTATAGTGGAAGCTTATGGCTGCGCTTTGCCATAAAGTAGTCCCGAGTATAAAATGGCGCCTGTGATTCCTTCACGTTACTTTTTTTTTCATTTGCAGTCAGTCTGATTATTGAAGTCATCAAGCAGAATTGGGGTCACTACTGAGTGAAGGAAGTTTTCACTCTCAATGCTAGTTGGATCCATTCACTTACTGTGTTTTATGCTAAGCTAAAGCTAAAGGAGTACAGCCAAGTCAGGAGAATGACTGGGCTGGTTAAAACTTGTTTCCTCCCGCTTATCTAAACCAAAAGAATGAGATTGCGGATACAAGTGGCCGAAATTAGTTTTCTCCGCAGGGTGTCTGGGCTCTCCCTTAGAGATAGGGTGAGAAGCTCGGTCATCCGGGAGGGATGGGAGTAGACCCACTGCTCCTCCACATTGAGAGAAGCCAGTTGAGGTGGCTCGGGCATCTGGTCAGGATGCCTCCTGGACGCCTCCCTGATGAGGTTGTCCGGGCACGTCCAACTGGGAGGAAACCCAAGGGAAGACCCAGGACATGCTGGAGGGACTATGTCTCTCAGCTGGCCAGGGAATGCCTTGGGATTCCCCTGGAAGAGCTGGCTCAAGTACCTGGGGAGAGGGATGTCTGGGCGTCTCGACTTACGCCTGGAACACACCAGCTGCGGAGCACCGAGAAGTGGATCGCTCACGAAAATCGTGAGCTGTACGCTCCTCCTCTGTTCACATCCCCTTTATCAATTGCAGTGTTTTATTTTAAAAATTTTATTTTATTTTGTTTTTGAAGTACTTGTTTGAGGACATCGGGATTATGTTAGGTTCTCAGTTGTGCCATGCAGTAAGATAAACTTGTAAACTTTTGCAAAAATTTACAGGTGAAAATAAATATTGTGATTACAAAATGTTTACAACTATGTGTTCAGATAAGCTTGAAAATGTTTTGAGCATAAATAAACAATTATTTTGCGCAAGTGAGACCTTTATTCAGCTTTAGAAATAATTAGCTAGCTAACTAGCAAGCAAGTCCGAGTCATATGTATGCAATCTATGTTTTTTATAAAATTTTACTGCAGTTTGGATATTATTTTATTATTTAATGTTACAGGAAAACTTTCATTGTCAAAAGCAGAACAACTGCTCAATGCAATTGCAGAAAAAAAGCTGTGAAGCAACCGCACTGTAACTGCTCACCCTTTAACTTTGCAATTTTTCTGATTCTTAAATCTAAAATGAATTTGTTTATTTTATTTGATCTACATGTGTTTGTGAATTTTAATTGTCTTGTCACATTTCTTTAAAAGTTCATGCTATTCTTGTTAATGGAAAGTGCATTGAATGGCCTCTGTGTACGAAACGTGCTATAGAAGTAAAGCTGCCGTGGCATATCACTTCATGTTCTATGGTTTGTTTGTTTTTGTTTAGGAAAAAAATTGGTTCTATTTGTTCACAATTACAACAAGTGATCAGCACAGCTTCTGATCTTCTTATTTCTTCTGTTTAAGTAGTGATATTATGGATGGCATTGTGAAAACTAATACTGTGCTTCCTATCTTTTTGTTTATCTCTGCATTGTGATTTCTACAGATGAAATCCTCCGCTAATGCAACCCAAGACTCGATGACGGACTGTTTAACCATCCACCCTCTACATCCAAACCTTTCCCCTCTGGCAAGGCTAGACAACAATGTGAACTCATCTCTTGGTGCGTCTCATGAGTCATACTCTAGCACATATAAACCCTAGCTGTTTGCATAAATGCATTTGATAATAGGGGGGTGGGGGGATAAATGCAAACACTTTTGTCGCTGCAACCATGTGCCCATAATAGGTTAATGCTCTATTCACATCCATGTCTGTCATCCCTGCTTGTCAGATTCAACACCAGGACAAGGTTCCTACTGCACTTCCCACCCGGCTTTAATGGACTCCTTACAAGATAATTACAGGTTAGTTTTTATGGGACTTAATTACCAAATAAACATTCTGGTAAGATTGACATTCATGTATATTTTAACAAGAATTACAGTTTTGTTGATCTCACCAACAGTCAAAACATAAAGTGCTAATTAATCAGCTCGCATCTTTAAAACTGTAAGCAGAACAAATTAAAAAAGTGTTCTCTTATGATGAGCTGGAACAGTCGCCTGTTGTCATGGCACCCCAATTATAAACTCTTAACAAAAATGACTAGTTTCAGAGTGTCCACGCATTCTTATCTTAACTTTTAGTTTGTTTTTGAGTCATTTATGTTGTCTTTGTTTACTGTGTGTGTGTGTGTATGGGCTGGAGTCATTGAAGATTTTTTTCAGCAGGGGGAGTTGGGAATAGCCAGAAACCTATTTCCCTTGTCAGTCCTCAGAATAAAAAAAAACATCTCTTCATCTACTTACTTCAAAGGAAGTGATAAAGGATTTCTGTCGTCCTGAAAAGCCAGATGCTCATGGCTCCTCGCTGCTTTGGATTGCTTTCAGATCAGCGGTAGGCCGCAGCATAGACAATGGACCTGTGAGAATGGACCTTGCTCTGCCTCATTGGTCCCCAGCACCAGCCTCAATGGATGCTATAGTCACCGCCAAGAGCTGCTGAGGAATTCAACAAGTGAATCATGAAATCTAGAAAATGCAATGTAAGGTCAAATAGGCGAGGAGAGAGCACTGTAATTAGGTTTTTAGGTGTTAAATCAGTCGTTAAACCCCTGAAGCTTTTTTCTATAGACTTTCTGGTAAAACACTGCTTTCCTCAATGTGTCATAAAAATTTAAAAGAAAATATTGGCTAATTGAATATTATTGATGGATGCAAGAACGAAGAAAAGTTTTACTTTGTCATGCTTAACAGCATGGATGTCAGCTGTTGCAACAGCTGGATCATATAAAAACCCACTGGCTGTGTAATCTCTTCTTTTTTTACTTTTTTTTATGAGTGTGAAGTTTTGTAAATATTTCATGTAAAAAGAATCAAATGACAGATATAAAACAAAAAAACTAAAACTCTTCCTCCCACTACTTTTCAAGCAGCAGTGACTGTCTTAGTGTTTTGTTATTTAGTTTATTGTCTTATGTTGTACATATTGTACACTTTTTACTGTGCGATTTAAATAACTACTACTGAAACTAGATGTGCACATCTCACAGTGACTTGTGTGCATTTGTTGCTAATTTATGTCATTTACAAACCAGGAATAAAACACTTTCAATGGTGTTTTGTTTTATTATTTTAATCGTCAATATTAGGTCATCAAGCAGATGGTTCTATGACTTCAAGTTCCCAGGAACAAAACACAAGTGTTATTGCACCAAATGTACCTCCATAATGATCTCCTGTATAAATCCTGCTGTGTCTTTTTTGTCATATTTTTTGTTGTGCTGGGTTGTAGTACAACTGGGTCATACAGAAAAGGAAACGTTGAATCAGTTTCATGGGAAGCAACAATGCAATGAAACTGAAATGAAAGCACCGATATTAAAGGAACTCAGTCTTTAGCCTATTTAATGCATGTATTAGAGATACAACTTTTTAACCACTTTTAGTCTTTTGTTGCAAATTCACATGGAAATAATTCTTCTCTTAAAACTGGGGTCTGTAGCGTGATGTCAAGGAGAGGAGGAGGAGGATTTTATGTCATTTTAAGGGCGATATATACCCCCCACCCCCAATCCATCCCCTTAAAGCTGAGTGTCAAGCAGGGAGGCATTGGGTCCCATTTTATAAAGTCTTTGGTATGACCAGACTGGGATTTGAACCCTGATCTTCCAGGGTGGACACTTTACCACTAGGTCACTGGAAAGGTGGATCTGTTAGTTAGTAGTTAGTAGAACATTTTAAACTATGCACCCAGCTTTAAAATATCCAGATGGAACATTAGGATTGGTGCCTTCATAAAAACATCATATCCAGCCTTGTAAATGTCAACTGTCCTCTGGTGGAGGACCTGCAGGTGGAAAAGGCTAATTTTAGTTAGTTAGTTAGTTAGTTAGTTAGTTATTATTTATTTATTTATTTTACTGTAAGTTGTGGATAAAATGCATATTTTTGTAAATCTATTGTGTAGTATTAGATGTTAACCTCTTACTATAATCATACTTGAGGCACCAATGAAACTGCGGGGTGGTCAGTTGGCATCCTTTGGATTGTCAAGTGGCCTGGGAGCCCTCCTTTATAGGTGTTTTGCTAATAAAAGTTAATGTTGAAATACTTTTCTAAAAGCCAAACTTTTTTAAGTAAATAAAGTTAAAGTTAAAGTCCCATTAGTTGTCACACACACTGATGTGTGTGCGAAATTTGTTCTCCGCATTTGACCCATCCCCTGGGGGAGCGGTGAGCTGCAGTCAAGCCGCGCTCAGGAACCACTTGGGGGTTTAACCCCCCAATCCAACCCCTTAAAGCTGAGTGTCAAGCATTGGGTCCCATTTTTTCAAAGTCTTTGGTATGACCCGACCAGGAATCGAACCCTGATCTCCCAGTCTCAGGGCGGACATTCTACCACTAGGCTACTGAGCTGGTTGTAATCAAGATGTCATTAAAGAATCTTTGGACACTTAAGGGGAAAAAAATCTCTTCAATACAGCTTTGCAGATTTTCCATCACAAAGGGGCCTAAAGTATCCTTTACAGATGTGGTATGATTAATATGATATTCTTCCATACATACCTACTTATGCAAATCAGAAAATGAAAATTCGACAAAAACATTAAAAGGGTATTCCCAAATGTTTTTACAAAGTGATCAAATATCTAAATATAGCAAACAAGTTTATGCAACAAGTAAAACTGAGCAAGCGTTTCTTCCAGATGATATGATGTTATTTGTGATTGATGGTAGACAGTATTCTGCCTTACAAACCTCTCATTAACCTTGGACTTTGGTGGTGCCATTCCAGAAATGGATATAGCTTTATTTTAACTGAATAGAAGGATCTTATAACATTTTAAAGAAAGATGCCAGTCATGAGCACCCAGGATGAATGCACCAAATGCACTCGATCTGTGAAAATTATATAATTCCTAATTGCATTCAGTCATAACCAAATGAGTACAGCATTGAAAGCATGAAATAAAACACAAATGTTAGAAATCAAGGCCTTGCTATTCAAGGTTTTCAGTCCTTTTTAACAAGAAAACATACATCATGTTTTCATTTTGAGCTGCAGGAGTAAAATATTCACTTTAGTTTAAGTATTTCAGGTTTGTTGATCCTTCTTATCATCAGCTCATCCCTGGGGATCAGCGCGGGCCTTGCTCCTCCACCTGCCTCCCACCACCTCCCAGTAGACCATCCCTGCAGAACAACTGTGATCTGAAGCAGCTCGACCGGCTCCCCCTCCTCATGTGAGTCCAGGTACTCAAAGATTCATAAACACATCAGTTAGCAGGTTTGTCAAAATGCACACAGACAGAAGAGTTTTACTGTAAACTATTTAAAAAAAGTAAAATTATGTAAGCTTCGCGACTTGTAAATATTTTTGTGGTTTGACAACCAGATTTTTCTTGTGCACGGCTATCTGTTGTGCTGTACGCTTTGTCTTTATGATGTGAAGCAGAGGGCGGGTGACTTTCTTTTCATTTTTAGACACAATCAGTTTGTTTCTCTCTGCTCTTCTATAAGTAGATCTGCTATATTGCTGTTAGAATCAACAGAAACATTGACAGAGTTCTCTAAAAGGCATTATTACCATTGTTTAACAATAAAGGAGTGACATTTTCTCTTTTATTTTAAAAAAAATTTGTCAAGTTAGTGTTAATGCAGCTTTTTCCAAATAAACTGGGGTAGACTGACTAATTCACTAATAGTTTTTGAAGTGTTTTATTTTTATTTTACTGCAATTTTTAAACCCATCTCTGTGTGTCTCTGTGCTCATCTGCAGGATTCAGTGTCAACGTTCAAACTGGAAACTCCTCATGGCATTTCACAGTAAAAGCATGTAAATCAACCAAAAGTCTGTTTATTTCATAATAAATGAAAAGGCATGATGAGGAAGCTAGAAATGAAGAGGCTGTCACTTTTATTTTCCATTCCATCACTATCTGACTCTATAACTCGGCTTCTTTCCTAATTAACATAATGAGGATTTTAATGTTTACCTGCTTATTTTTACCCAGCCTCCGTAGAGTACGTGCTAGTTTCAGGTGGCATTTTCCACAATGTCAACACTGCAATCAAAGCAATGTATGTAAGGAATCTTTTATTACAGTTTTTTCCTAGAATCCGTGTCTTGGTAACTATAGTAACAAGACAGGCTTATTATTTCTCGGTTATGCTCATCCATATTACCTGTTGCTTGAATGTAGTAACGTGCTGGGAGTGCTTCAGCTCTTAGATAATGAGCAAATTAGTGTTTGTGATCATGCCAGTAGCGTTGAATGCTTTGTGAATTATTTACACTTCATTTGAATTTTATTTTTCATAAGATAAGAAAAGGGGACTTGTGGACTCATAAAAATATGTAGAGGTACTATTATTAGTTGCTGTTTGCCAATTTGTAATTTTAACTTAGGTGAAAATAACTCTAAGCAGCAATGTGATGTAAATATGTTTTGTAGACATTGCAATACCAATAGTAAAAAAAAATTAAGGTTTTGCAAATGCTTTTTCCTTTTTTCTTGTCTTTTTTTAATTAAATGTTGAACAACTGCTTGGTTGTTTGAACCGCTGCCTTCCAGATTGATGGTTTCTGGTTCTGGCCCAGTGGTGCAGGTGTCTTCTGTGTGCAGTTAGCATGCTTCCCTCATGCCTACATGGGTTTTCTCTGGGGGTTCTGCCTTCCTCCCACTGTCCAAAAACACCTTTTAAAGAGCAAGTCAACCCCTACCAGATTCCTACTCATCTCCTACTTCCTGTTTGAAAAATGCGACAAATGCTGTTGCCTAGCAGACCAAGAGGGCGGAGCCGCTAACAATTACACACACAGGCTCACAACGACATTGTGACATCATACGGTACCAGCTAACGTTCTAGGGTACCTCTTAGCCAATAGCGATGGCAGATTTAAATTAAAATGCTGTGCAGAGTTTTTACCTGACAACAGCACAGCACTGACAGTTTTAGTCAGAAAATTTAAATTTCTACTAAAATGCACTAAAGTGCAAAACTATTGACTACACGTGTCTGCAGCACAATTAGACACGCATTTATATAGTTTATCAGAAAAAATAGTAGATTTGGGGGTGACTTGCTCTTTAAATTATTTGGTGATTCCACAAAAAATGGAATGAACTCCAGTTCCTTCACAATTATAAATGGGAGAAAACAATAAATGGGAGAAAACAGCAAGAAAAGTTACTGATTGCTATATTAAAAGGTGTTGAACACTTGTTTAATCTAAATCTTTGCAGTGGTCTCTGGTAGGAATTAATGCCTTGCAAGTCGTACTCTTGGCAAAAAGAAAAGCCCGGAAGCACCTGGATCAGCTAGGACAAGTCTGCTGCAGCAGAGAACAGGATTTGGAGACTAATTTCTTGATATTTGGGCACCTTGCCTGAAACTACAGCAACACGACTCTGTTTGCTCTGCAACATAAATGTTTTATCTCCACAAACAACACAAGCCTGGTGGAGTTTTTCTGTGTGGTGGAGTTGCTCATGCTAAAGATTAGCTTCTACTAGTCTGGATATTCTCTGCTGTTCCCTGGAATCTAAACCAACAACAGCCTTCCTCGTCACAAGCCAAGATGGATGAGTCCAAGCGACCACTTGATAAAGATCTGTCAGGCTTTTCAAATTCCAGAGTTTCACCATCTATTTTCTATCAGAAGCTAATGCAGGAGATAGGTGTAGGAGACTATTGAGACTATTTTCCATGTTCAGGCTGCATGTTAAACTCAGAGTGACTGATTATAATCAGAAACAATCCTTAAAAAATGGTGTTTCAGTGTTCCACGCCTTTAAAGCTTAGCTGGGACTTTGAAAAGTAGCTTCATAAAACCTAAAATAAGAAAATAAAATTGTTTAAACTGCTGAACTTAGTTGTGCCAGAAACAATTAGCCAACTTTGCTCTTTTTTATTTTTTACACGTATAAAAGAATTTAAGTTGGCACCAGCCCTCCACTTATATAAAACTAAAAACCGTTTCACTTGAAAAGATTTCTTTTAACCAGAGAGTTCAGCTTCAGATGGATTTCACCAGTTGCCTAGCAACAGCGACAACAGCTTTTCCAAAAAGCATCTGTTTAGTAACTGCTAATCAAATAAAAAAATAAAAAGTACTGTGCAGCGGACACAGGTGGTTGGATAGGCTCTGCGCTCGGTGTGAGGCCACTTAACAACACTCCCTTTGTTTGGTCACTGTTCTCACTCTTAAAGTTCTTGCATGTATTTTCGGATCTACTTGTGCCATGTGGCAAATTATTTCAACCTATAGCACCTGCATGCATATTTTTAGGAACATTCAACACTTTCTGTACTAAATGTCATTGCCACACACACACAGGTCCAAGTCACTCAATTAAGGCTGCAGTATTTATGGAAATAAACAGTTGAAGGGAACACTTCATTTTAAGGGGAATCCACCAACTGTGTGCTTTAAATAAATGAGACGATGCAGGCTGAGAAACAAAACCTCCGATGCTAAAGCGGAATTGCCCATGAAGGCAAATGTCTTTGCGAATTATGGTAGAAATGGAGGAACAATTGAGAACAGTGACAACCTGTATCAATTAAATCATCAGCCGTGCTGAATGACACATACTGGGTCTTCCTTGTGCACATTCCTGGTTAGGTGCTCACACACAGTGTAGTGTACGACAGGCAATCATTCACTCAGATTTTACTTAAAGTGACATCCCACCAATTTCTGCTTCCTTTTCATCCACCCAGAGTGCTTTTGTGTTATCCTGTCACACAGGAAGGGAAAATGCAGAGTCTGATCTTGACTGAGACAGAACAGTAGGTGACAATTATCAAATCTAATTTGCAAAAAAAGATGCATTTAAAGTATGAATGTATTTAGGTTCATGTTAGATTTTCAAAGATAATTGCATTGCCTTGACTAATGCTTTCTATTCAGCACTTCAAAGAGTTTAATAACACTTCAGTTGTAAATATATAAAAGCCATTTTACTGTGTAAAACATCCAATAAAAACAAATATATCAGGACATTAATCCTCTCAGGCTCAAATTAAGTTTTGATAAAAGGACCAACAACTAAGTCCTTCAGGCGTACTTCTGAGTTAAAAAATGCTGATGAAATACGTATGTGGGGTAACCAGGTAGGTAGGTTTTAACGTTGCAAACTTGCAACACCATGCCTCCTGAGGGTTAAAAAAACATTAAGAAGGGTGAGAACTGGTTAGAATCTTGTTTTAGGGGAAGAGTTCCCCATTCTCAGGGAAGGTTCCACACCAGGGGTCACCAACCTGGTGCCCCAGGAACCATATAAGGTGCCCACAGGCCTTTTCTCCAAATAGAACAAGTCTGAAACAAAATAGAACTCTGCTGCCACCTGTTTCAATGGAACGGCAGTAGCTCCAGAGGTAGAGTCAGTTGTCCAGTAATCGGAAGGTCGCAGGCCGATCAAAATTCGACAACGGATTACGAAAGAATGGATAATGCTTGAAACATGCAGATTCTTTGTGGAGTAAGAGGTGAGTCTACTCTTTCTTTTGTTAGTTCTGGCGTTGATATCATCCTAGCACGCAATGTTCTGTAACTCTTAAAAAAACATTGAAAACGCTGAAAAACGCTGGCAGCGCAGGGCTTTTCTGATCAAAAAATGGCTGGCAGTTCATGAATTAAGTCACTGCTTCCTTGACGTTCCAAGTGCTCTGACCTGGGCCAGCATCACGACTGTTGGGTGCTGATTGGCTAAGTCACTGGTTGTTCCAGAGCTTTATGCCTGCAGCCATTTCCTGGTTCAGACTCTGAGCATTTTTGTGCTAAGTTGTGTTTCATACAGTTCACCTCATGCTGTTTACTGATTGTATCATGCTATTTTTGTCTTGAGTAAAGATAAGGTTTCTGTTGGCCAGTCATAGGTAAGATATCCAAATATCAGGAAATAAGACTCCATATCCTGCCACTTTCTCCTCTAGCTGACTTCTACATCCTCAAAATGGCGCACCAGAGCTTTTTTCCCAGAAAATTGATTGCAAGGCATTAATTCCTACTGTAGACCACTGCAAATGTATTAAAGCTATGAGTAAAGTTGACCTTTAATGCCTATGCTCTGCTCTCATCAGGGGTCCAAACTTTCTGTCATGGTGGCACTGGCCCCCCTTGGAACCCCCCACCCCACCGCCCCTGTGGAGGCAATTTTTTCCTTGTAAATTACAAAACTATCAATTTATATCACATACTTACAACGGTTACATGTTCTCTAATAACAAAACACACTTGTAACCTTGTCAGTCCTCAGAATAAGACAGTTTTTATGCCCTATAATAAAAGTAAGAAAACTAAAAACAAAATTATTCACCCAATAAAATTAAGATTTTTGTTTAAAACCCATTTAAATAAACTGTTTTGTTAATAATTGGCAAATCACAACAATCTCTTCTGTAAGATTTGATTTTCTAGGTTTTTTTTACGCCAAACAATTTTAAAGTCTCTATAAAGTCTAAACTAGGTCAGGCCAAAAAGCCGTGACTTCGGGTGTTAACGGACAGCCATGGACACATGTTTAGTTTTTTTTTTTTTATCGGGTTGATTATATTTCTTCAGATGAATATGTGCGCCTAAATCTCCTCCCACCTGCCTGGTAAGAAGGTTGAGCGCTGCAGATGAGTTTTATAGCAACTGTTGCCCAGTGAGGCAACGCCATAGTCACCGTAGTCCTGGCGACTGTAACCCACCAACAACAACCTCTGGCTCCATCATTACCACCTCCTCCAACATCCTCATCTTCATCAACCAGTCCGCAGCTCAGGTTTGGCTCAACTCTTCGCTGTTTTTAGCCCGAATGCAAGCGCTTTCTCCTCTGACAAGATGAGAGGGGTTTATGCGGGAGGTTTGCTTCTGGTTTGTGTTTTGTCTGCTGCTGGGTTGAAGGCTCTAGCGAGGGTGTTTCTTTGTAACGTGTTAGCCTGCTTTGCTAAGGTTCCTTGTGGGAACTCGTTATGAGAAGAGCTCCTGCTTTGCTAGCAGAGATAAGCTATACGGAAATAAGGAACGCTGCGGAGCTAAAACGACTTGTAAAAGTGTTTCTATTATTGAACATGTTTTGTAGTTTTAACTTTCCACGCTGTGGTAGCAGAGCTGCCGGCTAGTCAGCGTTGCTAACTGGTCAGCTGGAGCAGGTGTCTGTTGTTGCTAACGCCAGCGATGCCTCCTGACAATGCCTGTTGGTATCCTGTTTTTTGGGAGGCAACGTCAACGCTGATGTTGCAAGTTTGTGTTTCGATGTGTAGGAAATCTGGTCGGTTACAGAAAATCTGTACGGCTGTTGGCAAATGGAAAGTGTCGTAAGCTAGCCCTGCACTCACTCACTGGTTGACAATAGCTAAGCCATTACTTTCCCTTTTGTCTTTTGCTACAAGATAGCTTCGCTAGCTCTCCATCTGCCCTCTTTGTGGCATCAGATGGCTGTGATAAGCTTTCAGATAACACCACACTAAGTTCTGCAGCTCGGAGAAAATAGTTCTGAGTGAGCTAACATTTTCAATTTGGATAAAGGTTGTGTTTAGTGGAATCATTTAGGGTTCTGAGTGGCACATCCTGGAAATGGGCTGGTAAACGTCATTGCACCCCGTCGAGTTATTTACTTTTTAAGATTTGTTAAATTGACATTTTTTCTAAAACCATTAAAACAAGTTCAGACCTAATGAGAGAATTAGTTTAAATGGTTGCCTATTCATTTTACATATGTATAAGGAGAAAGGATTTCTTAACAGGTGGATTTTTAATTTTTTATGGAATTTTAAACATAATTTCTGTCAGGCAGATTTGTTGTATACCTATTCTTCCCAACAGTATAACAGCCCGGCATTTAGGGGTGCTTTAATTCTGTTGGTGCTCCATTTAAAATTGGTTTCTCTGTGTTGCATCACATTTTATTCTTAGGTCCACTGGGTCTCATGTTCACCTGCAACCTCTGAATCCCATTTGGGAAGAAAGCAGGTGTGTGTGTGTGTGTGTGTGTGTGTGTGTGTGTGTGTGAGGGGAAGGGGTAGGTGGGGACTTAGGATGTCCTGATTTATCTTCAAGAGCAAAAGGTTATTGTTCAGTAAAAAAAAAGGTACAGGTAAACTTCATAATTCCTTTTTTCTTATAGTGTTTTAGGTGTTGTATAATAATTTGTGAATCCAACCCAGCTGGACCCAACAGCGCCACAGCACATCATCTCCACTGGATCAACATAAAGCTGCATAATCTGAGCACATTATGGTGTTATATACTAAAATCATTTAGATCTGTTCACATGTACAAGCTAAATGAGGTCATCTTGATCTCACACACACACACACACACACACACACACACACACACACACACACACACACAAAAGTGGATGTTAGGAGCTGGCAGCTATCAGATCAGGTTTCCACTTACCTGTGGTCCAGAAGGGCAGAAATAGTACCATGCCACCTGCTACCTGGATCCTGTTGCATTTCCAATCACTTAAAGAGGGGCTGATTAATTCAATTATTCTGTCGGCCATTTTCCTGGCTTTAGCAGCATGTTTGGTTTGTAATTTATCACAGCCATCCTGCTGTAATGTTAATGAAATAATGGTCTTTTTAAAGGTGATTACTTCTTTTTATTATCACTTCCTACTCCTGGTTATTGAAATGAGCAGAAGGCCTGTGGTAACCAGTGATTTCTGACACTTTTCATTAGCTTCACCTGTATAAACAGATGAGATGTTCAACAGTCTCATGGGATCTTTTATAAATGCAAAGTTTTTGACTGTGAAGTCAGCATTACTGGTGCTCACGATGGAAGTCAGTCCCTCTTTCCTTTGTAATCGTAACCACCCCCCCTCCTCCTTCTCCTCCTACACAAACACAGTTCTTTGCATACCCTCCACCTCCTCAGCTCCCAATTAGATTTCCCTCCACCTGTTTTCCTGCCACCTGATCAAACCACCAAGAACAAGAAAAGAATTTCTCTCGACCGCAATCAGTCTTGTTCACTCTCGCGTATGCCTTTACTCTATACATTACACGTCCAACTTTGTCATTACGGAGGAAAATTATAGTGTTCTGTGGTTTCCGTTAGCGGCTGCTGTGAGCCTCGTGAGCTCCAGGATTGTGTGGCCTGGTATGCTAGCAGGAAGAAAACTCAGGGCGCAGTGTTGCGCTCCTTGGTGGCTTTTGTTCCTTCGTGTCTTTGTAGGGCTCACACTTGCTCAGTGGAGCACGGCGTTTAAGTGGGCCACAAGGGAGCGTCTGAATGGTGTGTGTGTGTGTGTGTGTGTGTGTGTGTGTGTGTGTGTGTGTTTGTCATTGTGAAGGGGGGGTTGAGGTGATGCTGGGGGTTCTTTTCCCCAATTAGGTAGGCTCGGTTGGGGCCCTTTGCTTTAGCTTGCTAACTGCTTTGTGGAATACACGCGGAATATTCCACATTCTTCACTTCCTGTAAGACTTCTCAGGATGAAGGAAATGGAGCGCTACAGGTTCATTATGAGGCATATCATGGTACGCAAAAACTTTTTTGAAAATACAAATATGTGTGCTGAATATTAGTGGTTTTATTTTTCCTTTAAAAGACGGAGGGTTGCCTTTTGGGACACTAAATTAATTTGCTTTCCAAAACGGGAATGTGTAAGGAAAAAATCCATCTTTTCCCACCTCTTGTTGTCGCGTTGACCCTATTGTGGCCAGGTTCGATTTAGTTACCCCAACATGAATAAGGTGATAGCCTGGAAAATGGACAGTTTGAAGGTAATGGAAAGGGGCACGTCGTCCCCGGAGTGATTTGAAGCTCTAAGGAGCACCAGCTTAATTAACCAAGAGAGGCTTGTTCATGGAAACTGATGAGGAGGAGCTGGCCTTTCCCTGGAAGCAATGGGTGATGGGAGCCACACTGTTATTAACTCACAAATATAGGTTAAGTCTTTCCTCTCACTCTTGTCGTTTTCTTTTCAAATTTGCTCCATTAGGTCAGGATCTTACATATTCTGTGTTTATATATTGCTTAAATATTTTTGTAAAAATCAAAGAAAATGAAAAGCAATTCTTTGGAGGACTTATTTAAATTCCAGCTGCGGGGCCTTCTGTTAAAAGAGCAACAGCAAGAGGACCGGTAGAGAAACGAGAATCTATTTAGAGTTTGTTAAATATTAACTTGTTTTATGGCAGCAAATGTGGAGACAAGAGTGTGTGTCAGTGATGCATGAGGCTCTCGGTACACCGAGTGCCACGGGGTGGAAACAGGTGCTCAGGTACAGTTGGTCTAAAGCCGCTTTAGTGGCATTGATTTGGGCAAAACATACACAGGTTTATGATGACACCTCGCACTTCCTGTTGTCCCTAGAATAGTCTCTCCTTTAGCTGCTTTATCTGTCCACAGCAAGCCAAAGTGTGGATAGTTGGACAAAGATGTTGTGTGTTATGTGAATTTCATTCATCAAGTTTGCATTTGATTAAAAACCAAGTTCACTTAGAAACCATTTTTTTCCTTGTTATTTTTTAAATGTGATTGGCCATTCTGACTCTAACATGCAAGCTTAACATGAAAATAGTCTTCTACCCAAATATCCTGTGTTAGCTGCTGATGGGGATCGCATGGATTAGAAAAGCCACGAAGATCTAAGTTGCACTGAATTAGCATTCACAAACTCGCCCATCTTCTCTCACGACGGGGAAGTGTCCAGGAGAAAGCATGGCACGCCTCAGCTAGTAGAAGCTAACCGTTAGCGTTAGCAACTCCACAACATGGCAGAACTCCTTCGGGATTGTGTTGTTTGTGGAGATAAAACATCAACGTTGCAGAGCAAACAGAGGCAGTGGTAGAGTCATGTTGCTGCTAGCCAATCAGAGGTGAGATGTCAGAATATTAATGAATAAGACTCCATATCCTGCCATTTTCTGCTCCCCTCTCCTCCGGTTAACTTGTCATTTTTAAACCGGAGCACTATATATTTTTTCCACAGAAATGGACTCGCAAGGCATTCATTTATACTAGAGACAGCAAACGCGTTGAAGAAAACATGTGAATGAGGGCTTTAATAAGTAGAGATTTATGTCACATAAAATCAGACTATTTGGATTTTGTTAGCAGCAGTTTCTGGTGAAAGACAGATCAATAAATGCTTAAATGTGTCAACAGCTTTTGATTTAGCATCAGTTTTGGTTTCTGCCTGAGCTTCTGCTGTGGTTAATATGAGATAATAAAGATGATTCACCACTAAGGCTGGCAGGTTAATAGTTGCACTGACTTTTTTAGTTACTGGGATCATATTTAGTCTCTGTGTTTCTTTTTTTTTTTTTCTGTTTAGGCGCCATGCAGACCCCTGAAGCAGGCGCTGACTCCACCTCCACTGTCCCCCTTCAGACCACCGTGCCTGTCCAGCCTACCGGCTCCACCCAGCAGGTGCCTGTCCAGCAGCAGGTACGTCCCGGTCCTTTATGTGACCTTTGGATCCAAATCCTCTCTGCTCACATCTGTAGCTTTGGCAAGTTAATGGAATAATTTCAAGCCGTTTTGTTTTTTCCCTTTTTTCAGGCCCAGACTGTTCAACAGGTTCAGCATGTTTACCCAGCACAGGTGCAGTATGTCGAGGAAAACAGTGGCGTCTACACCAACGGCAACATGTGAGTCAGTCTGTTAGCCAGCTCCACAAACATCAACATCTCCTCAGCCTGTTGCCTCACATGACCACTCATGTCACAAGCACATGATTTACAGTGAGCACAGTTGTCTTTTGTGCTTTTCCTTTCTCTTTGAGGGCCTGGCAGTCATATGCCTTTATTGTATTCAGTCACCTGAACATGACCAGAAGTAGGACAGCTCTTTAAGTGTTGATGTGATAAAAGGGTCCCCTGGGTCTGGAACAGAGTTCTACACAATCAGGCCCAAGCTGTGATAAACGCTCATGCACGCACGCACGCACGCACGCACGCACACACACACACACACACACACACACACACACACACACACACACACACACAGTGACTACTACAGGTTGATAATGACTAAGCACTAGGTTATGATGGTATTTTATTGATTTTGCTGGGGAAAAACATTGACAAACTACCTGTAGAGTCCACTTTTGTGTGAACTGTGACTTCTCATGTCATTTAGTAAAATCTCTAACATTGTCTATTAGGGCTGCCACAAACGATTAGTTTTAGAGTCGACAAATTGCCACTTTCATTGACGATTAGTCGACTAACTGTGTCATGCATAAAAGTATAGCTTATGGCACCAGGATGCTCTAATTTACCTATCATTAGCTTCAAGTTTTTTGACCAGTTATGTGTCATCTAATAATAAAGACAAGATTATAGCTTATCAAACAACTTTTAATCTACCTGTTAATGCAAATGCTACACAGTCAAATGGAGGTAGGCAGCTAAAACTGAAAATAAATTGTAGATCAAAATTACTTTTGCTCACAGATTTGTCCAGCTAAAATAGTCATTTTTGGCTTTGTAACAAACTTGTCCGTTGAAGAGGAGTGCTTTTTTACAGTGTAATGTAGGGGGTTAAATAAACCGTGACATACATACGTGTTCTAAAGGTAATAAAATCGCTATTGCTACTGTTGATGCTACACCTGTGAATGCAAGTAGCTCTCTGTTGATGTTAGCAGCTAACAAGAGCGAATTAGCTTACAGGGGCAACTCTTAGTTCTCCGCTCTGACGTGCTTCCTTTTAAGGTGCTCGTGCTTCGCTGATGTTCTCCCGTGAAAGGAGAGTTTCACTTTGCAGATTTTGCACTCTGCGTTCTTCTCTTTTGTCTTTGTAAAATGCTCCCAAACCTTTGAGCTGCTTTTAAACTTCAGTAACAGCTGATATACCTCCTTAGTAAAGCCTTTCTAAAGTCAGGCACATCCCCGGGCAGCCCAGTGCTGCTGCAGAATTTAATTTAAATGAATATTTACGTTCCTGAATAACACCTTCAAAATAAATGCTCTAAAATATTTTTTACAAAAATATGTTATCACCAGTTTTGAATAATAATACTTGGTTAGTTAACTGGTTTGTTTGATTTACTTTAATCAGATGTCTGATTTGAACACTGAGCAGTACAAAAAATTTAGATTCAACAATTGGTTCAATTCAGTGTGCAGTAAGGATGTAAGAAAATATCAGTACATTAAAATACTGCAATATTTCATGTTATGATACGGAATCAATTTTTTTATTAAGAATTTACACACAAGCATTTCCTTATTTCTCCTGTGTGGTGTCATGGCGTATTCTACAGTTAGCGTCACTGGAACGTTCTGCTGGATGATAGATAAACAAACTGCATTTACCAAATGAAAATACACGGACAGAGCGCTTGGACATCGCTTAAAAACAACTTGACAGACACAAAATTCAAACGTTTATGCTCAGTTACTCACGACTGACAGAGCTCAACATTTTCTCTAATTTCTTATTTTACTCGTAGGTTATTATTTGTGTCACTACGTTTTACGTACCACCCACCTCTGATAAAACCATTTTCATCCATGTTTGGAATCTTATTGGCCAAGACATTGAGCTGGACCTCTTCGTTTACACCACGGCCTCCTGGTTAACTTTACATCTGAGAGTGTTGCTAGGATTGGCTCAATATCCTCGGACCTTTCCTTTCCGCGAAATGTATGGAACAGATATACCTGTGATTTACGTCTTGATCTGCTCCACACTGTGAAAACCTGCTCTTCCACCTAAATATGGCCACAGCTTTGCTTGGTTTGTCTGTAGCCTGGCCCTTTTCCCTATCCAGCTTTCACGTGGTCGCAGATCTTACCCAGCTTTGGAAAAAGGATTTAAAAAATGTCCCGTCTGACATCCCATCTGGGTATCTAGAGTACGATTAGCACCTCCCCATCAGCGGTGCTTAGTTCCTTCCTGTTTGAACATATTTATGAGACAAAACTAGAACTTTGAGACGAGTGGAGCGACTCAGACTCATCGGCACTCATGCAAAACACATGCTTGCTTGTCTAGGGCTACATCCCATAATGCAATTGTATAAAAGGTTCAGAATTTCATATATTACCTTTGTTTGTTAAATTTGTTGGTTTTGTTTTGGTGGGAATTCAGGAAGTGGCATGCTTTTATTTTGAAGAGCCTTTCACAGTGAGCTCACTTCCAGCTCTAGAATTTTCCCTTTCTTTCCTTTTTGGTGGGTGTGAGACAAGTGTTCCTTCGTTCTCCTGCAAGTCATGTTGATGAAACTAGATGAAGCTAAGCTTATTGCTGACGCTTATCTTAATTCACCCAACCCTTACACCGACACCATGACTGCTCTTCATGATAAATTTGGGCAACCACATCAGCTTGCCCTAAAAAAGATAGCAAATGTTCTTGACGGTCCTGAAATAAGGCGAGGTGATACAATAGCCTTCCAGAAGTTCTCCCTCCAGGTGCAGTCCCTAGTAGGCCTGTTGCAAACCTTAGGCCTGGAAGGACAAGTAGAACTTAACTGTGGGTCACATGTAGCTCGACTCTTAGGCAAGCTACCTCCAGAGCAACGGGCTGACTTTCGACGGCACCAGTTTAAACAGCCTGGGAAATCCTACACCCTACATGACCTCTCTGACTGGTTCCATAATGAATCATGGTGTCAGGGCTTTGACAGCCAGACCACAGGAAAGGGTGGTAGAGAAAGAAACAGCTCAAAGTATGAAGGGCAAACTGGTAAACAGACAGTTACAGTCCTCTATAACAGGGATTCCCAAAGTGTGGTGCGCGCACCCCCAGGTGCGCTTCATAGGGGCTGCCGCTAGGGGGTGCGCGAGGTGAAAAGTGTAATGGCTGCGGAGCTCAGAAGTCTGTCATATGTCACCATTAGCGTAGAAACTCATTTGTGGGTGGGCCAAAGAAAAAGTAACCCCGGCTTTCCACGGGAGCCATCAGCAGCACGTTACTGCAGCAGCACGTCATAGCTGCTGATAGGAACCGCTGTGGTCAACAGAACCTTTTCCACCGGAGCCGTCGGCAGCCGTCAGCAGCGCGAGTCGGCCGCGTCTCAGGAGCAGCATGTCGCGGCCTTTATGCGCCGGTTCTATTTTCTACACGCGACGCCTCTGAAACGGGTCAAGTTTGACATTTTTGGTGAAGGAAAGACAGGAAATCTGACGCGGAAATGGAGAGAAGCTACCGAGATTTTCAGAATAAAGAACGTACTGCCTTCCGGTTGCTTTACTTTTAAAAAAGGTTACTAACTGTGCGGCCCCGTGAGAAGTTATCACCTAGCTAGCGGTCTCCTTTGTTTTTCAGGTCCGTATTGCGATTATAAAACAGACAGAACATAAAACACAAACCATGTTGTAGTTTTCTCCTGCTTGTTGTTGTGTTTACTGACGAAGTCACTCGTGTGACTTTGTGCTCGTTCGGTGACAGCTGCTCCCCTGCTGCTTCGCGTCTCGTGGGAAGGGCCAAGCAGCAGCTTACGCGAGCAAGACGTGCTGCTGCAGTAACGTGCTGCTGCAGTAACGTGCTGCTGCAGTAACGTGCTGCTGACGGCTCCTGTGGAAACCCGGGGTAAGTGGGCACAATAAATGTAATTGAAAACAAGTATATTTTTGCGCGCGCGCGCATGTCCTCCACATGTGCCATAGCTTCATAATAACAATGCGCCGAGCTTCAGCACTCTGGCCTGCGCACGCCGATATGGTCCGTATTTGATCATTTTTAACGATGTTGGAGGAATCTGAAGGTGGCGAGTCATTCTGGCAGATTGTAATTAACACCTGTCTCGTGCAGGTGTTCTGACATTGTAAACCTCACACACAGAACATTGTGGATGTAACAAAATAACAAGAAATGATTCCCATTCAGGCTATTAACACCGTGCTGAAGATCTGAAGTTCAGAGTGCGTCTGTCAGAGGTCAGACGCGTTCCAGCGGAACCACGGCTCACGGGTGCACAAGTGAGCACATCTGGGCTGGGCAGAAATCATTTTACAACATTGGTTTAAATAGCGCGAGACGCGGTGACTTGAGCGGCTGTGCCGCGCGCGCACACACACACACACACACACACACACACGCACACAGATTCAATAAGCGCACACGCTGCTTTAACTCCGGCGCGCAGTGACCCCGGCTTTCCACGGGAGCCGTCAGCAGCACGTCATAGCTGCTGATAGGAACCGCTGTGGTCAACAGAACCTTTTCCACTGGAGCCGTCGGCAGCCGTCAGCAGCGCGAGTCGGCCGCGTCTCAGGAGCAGCATGTCGCGGCCTTTACGCGCCGGTTCTATTTTCTACGCGCGACGCCTCTGAAACGGGTCAAGTTCGACATTTTTTGGGAAGGAAAGACAGGAAATTGGACGCGGAAACGGAGCGAAGCTACCGAGATTTTCAGAATAAAGAACGTAATGCCTTCCGGTTGCTTTACTTTTAAAAAACGTTACTAACTGTGCGTCCCCGTGAGAAGTTATCACCTAGCTAGCGGTCTCCTTTGTTTTTCAGGTCCGTATTGCGATTATAAAACGGACAGAACATAAAACACAAACCATGTTGTAGTTTTCTCCTGCTTGTTGTTGTGTTTACTGACGAAGTCACTCGTGTGACTTCGTGCTCTGTCGGTGACAGCTGCTTCCCTGCTGCTTCGCGTCTCGTGGTAAGGGCCAAGCAGCAGTTTA